GCGACACGCTACGTGCAACGGTGTACCCCACCGCTGGAGAACATCACCACGCCGGAAGTTCGACAAGCTATTCGCACCCGCACCGGCGACAAGAAGTAGACGCAGGATGTCCACGTCCCCGAAGCGGGCCGCGTCATGGATCGGGCGAATTTTGACATCGAGGTCGGACCCGAAGTCTTGGAGCTCCCAGTCTGTTGCATCCAGGTCGGCCCCCTTGTCGACGAGAGCTGCACATATTGCCGTGGTACCGTTGTACACTGCCGCTGACAGCGGGGGTCCGCGAGCTCCTGTGCGCAGGCAGTGCCCCACGCATCCTGCTTTCGAGTCGATCTTTGCTCCGCGACGAAGCAGGAGTTTAACCATTGCCGTCGCTCGCTCGATCTCGTCCTCGGACGACAAGGCAGCCCCCGCCGTGCATTCGTAACCCACACTCTGCAGAGGGGAGAAGCGCTGGTGCGTCTTCAGACACAGCCAGCCGACCGGGGTAGCTTCGTCACACCCGTGACTGTCGTAGTCCGTAGAAATGCCTTGCTCAATGTCTGCCCCGGCGTCGAGCAGAACCTCCATCACACGGACGTCTTTCGCTTCGTGCAAGGCGGAAAATCCGTCATGCCCAAAGCCGTTCACGTCAGCCCCAGCGTCAAGCAGGGCGAGCGCCACATCTGTATTTCCCTGTTTCGCGGCAGTGACCAGAGGGGGAACTTCGTCACAGCCGTCCTCGTAGATAAGGTTGACATCTGCTCCGGCCTCGACCAGCGTACGCACCACCTCAAGGTGGCCGTTTTCCACTGCGAGATCCAGGGCGGTGAGGAAAGGTCCGTCCCTGCCGAAGGAGGCAAAAATATCCTTTCTCGCTCCCGCTTGCAAGAGAGCCTTGGTGACTTCAACACCCCCCCGCGCGGAGGCCTCGTGGAGTGGGGTTGGATCTTCGCAATCTTCGTCACTCGCTCGACCGTCTGGCCACGCTCCTGCCGCGAGCAGAGCCACAGCTACTGACAGATGATCTTCCCTTGCGGCAATGTGGAGGGCGGTTGCTCCATCACTGTATGAATAGCCTTCGCGATCGACTCTGGCGTTACGGTGAGCGCTGTCTTTCAGCAAGCCGGCTACAGCTACGGCGTCACCGACACCGGCGGCGTCGTGGAGCGGTGCTGCCGCCGACAAGGGCGTGTTCTGCGCCATCACTGCCCGCCTCTGCATCAGGCACAAAACAGCGCAGGGAGGACGGAGGATGGAGACTCTTTGGTTGATTGTATTGACGACAGGTTGTGTCTGCAAACGCGCCCACATGCGCCACCTCAGGTGGACCGAAGGATACTTTGTGAGCGGCTCTTGCACAGGAAGTTCATGTTCCGTTTACGGTAAACACGATGTACGACCAATAGGGTAGTAAGGGGAATCATGTGGCTCAACCCAAAGGACAAACCTACCCTCTCAGAACGAGGGTCTTCTGGGCAACAGTTCGTCACATTCTCACAAGGTCCTTGGGAAACAAAAAACGGGGAAGGGGGGAGCAAGCGGGATGTGTTGCTAGTGCTGACGGGTGGTGGTAACGACCCTCGAAGCTGAGCTTGACGCGGTCTGCTGTAGTGAAGCATAACTTATCTATTGATTTTCATTGTGGGATGGTCATTGAAGTCTATTTTTTTCGGGCTTGACTACTGTATATAAGGTAAGTCTCTACGTAGGTCGCTGTGGGTTGGGACTGCTGTACTTGCTGTAATTAGCCCTTCAAAACCACTGACCCGACTGAATCTTTATGTCGGTTGGCATGTACCGTGGGCCGTTACATGCCAACAGACACAAAGGTCCAGATGGACACACGCACTTCTTATGACCCTATGAGCAGATGAGCAGTGCAACTGAATGCTGACCACGAAGTAAACGAATGCACAAGCTTTTCGCAGCAATGCTGACTCTTGACCTTGCACGTGCTGGCGATAAGGTGTCGTTCCACTGCTGCTGTGGGCCATCCCGTGCCATTGCAGCGGGGAAACTTCCGCGAACGTTCTTGTGGCAAACGACTCTGCTTGTAGAGTTGCGGCGAAATCCATGGCACATACGCACACAGCAGTACACACCACAAAGGGGAGCTGGTTTACCGGCTCCGATCTCACACGCAACGTTAGCCGAGGTGAGCTGTGTCAATCACATCCGCGCGTCTGTAGTACTACCATCTGCGCCGATCGCTTCCGTTTTTCTTTATTTGTACCAGTTCGCCCGAAGCGATCACGCCGAAAATGTTTTTTGACGACAGAGGTACAGCAGTGTGGCATGCATGTTTGGTGCAGTTATGATGATGAACGCGACGCACACCACTCCACCGATCGTGCACCCCGCGAAGGGAGTAGTTTGCCCCGTGCCATTCGTTGGAATTAGCTAGTTGGAATATACATGCGTATTGAGAACCTCTGGCACCCTCCCAATCCGCAGCTCGCAAAGGTCGAGCGATTATTATTTTGTTTCCGAAAAGTCAACGGCTAGTCTAAATGGACCCACAAGAAGACCGTTCGAGCGCCGCCAAGGTAACGGCCGCGCCAATCCAACACTACCCACCACTACCCAATCCTACCCAAGCCTACCCTACTCGACTCAACCCAACCCCGCCCATACCCCGGGCGACGGCCCCGAAGGTCGCTCCGACCCAAACCTAATCAACCCGACCCAACCACAACGCAGGTCTCCGCAGAAAGTCGCGCACAAATTGTTTTTACTCAAAGAGCAAGTGAGGCCATTGCGGCATAAAGGCGTGTTCTTTGTTCTTTTTTGGTCATGTGGTGCCGCGTTCTGCCTGCGCAACAGCCCCGCGCGAGAAGAAAAATGTGTCACGCTACTACTGCGGTGCGTCTCTCTGTCGATCCCGACGACAAGCGGAGGTTTGCGCTGCGGGTTGTCGTCCTCTCAGCAGTCTTAAAAGGAAACAGGCATCATACCAAAAGTTCAACCTGATTTGATTGCGCCGCTGCTACAGTCTGTACATACGCACGCCCTCGCTGCGCGACGACCACGGATCCGCGCTGCACGAAACAAAAGCAGCCTACTGCCTGTGTATGTGTGCGTTTCGATCTCCACGAAAAACTGGACTGCTTTGCCGCCGATCTCGTGCGTTCAGCAATCTACATACTAAAGACCTGCGCGAACCCGCCGTTCTTTTTTGTATGTTTTTTCAACGTGGTTTTTGTGCGGCGACCCAAACTCTGTAGAGCGCTCGTTGCGCGACGGCCACGGCACTGATCGCCGCCAAACCAAGCGTGCTGCTGGCATTTCAGCCATCTCTACACATCTGCGCAAGAGCTGGGAGCTGAAACGGCCCAGTGCGCGCAAAAATAGTGGGAGAACCATCACCATCGAGAGTTTGTGGAGACAGAGATCGCACTTTTTTTTTTTTTTCTCCCATCATTGGACTCTGTTGTCTGCCCCTCTGGCCCCTATCCTCTACTTCTACCAGCTAGAAGACCCAACCGGGGTCACATAAGAGGGGGGGGTTGGACCCCCTCCTGCGGTTCCATGTGATCACACCATTGTTTGTGCCAACATCGAAGAAGGTTCGCACCCCCTCTCCATCATGGCGGGATTCCGCGTTGGTTCATAGCTACACCACGCCAGGGCGTCTGTCCCGCTTGAACATGAATACACAATGTACGAGGTTCTGAAGAGCACATTACATGGAGGTACAGCACAACCAACCCACAGCAACCTACGTAGAGACTTACCTTCTAGCCCGACGAGATGTCGATGTTTATTATATTACACAGTGTAGTTTAAAAGATGAATAATGCTTCATACCAGCAGACCGCGTCAAGCTCAGCTTCGAGGGTCGTTACCACCACCCGTCAGTATTTTCGACATGTCCCACTTGCTCCCCCCTCCCCGTTTTTTGTTTCCCAAGGACCTTGTGAGAATGTGAAGAACTGTTGCCCAGAAGACCCTCGTTCTGAGAGGGTAGGTTTACCCTTGGTTGAGCCACATGATTCCCCTTACTACCCCATTGGTCGTACATCGTGTTTACCGTAAACGGAACATGAACTTCCTGTGCAAGAGCCGCTCACAAAGTATCCTTCGGTCCACCTGAGGTGGCGCATGTGGGCGCGTTTGCAGACACAACCTGTCGTCAATACAATCAACCAAAGAGTCTCCATCCTCCGTCCTCCCTGCGCTGTTTTGTGCCTGATGCAGAGGCGGGCAGTGATGGCGCAGAACACGCCCTTGTCGGCGGCAGCACCGCTCCACGACGCCGCCGGTGTCGGTGACGCCGTAGCTGTAGCCGGCTTGCTGAAAGACAGCGCTCACCGTAACGCCAGAGTCGATCGCGAAGGCTATTCATACAGCGATGGAGCAACCGCCCTCCACATTGCCGCAAGGGAAGATCATCTGTCAGTAGCTGTGGCTCTGCTCGCGGCAGGAGCGTGGCCAGACGGTCGAGCGAGTGACGAAGATTGCGAAGATCCAACCCCACTCCACGAGGCCTCCGCGCGGGGGGGTGTTGAAGTCACCAAGGCTCTCTTGCAAGCGGGAGCGAGAAAGGATATTTTTGCCTCCTTCGGCAGGGACGGACCTTTCCTCACCGCCCTGGATCTCGCAGTGGAAAACGGCCACCTTGAGGTGGTGCGTACGCTGGTCGAGGCCGGAGCAGATGTCAACCTTATCTACGAGGACGGCTGTGACGAAGTTCCCCCTCTGGTCACTGCCGCGAAACAGGGAAATACAGATGTGGCGCTCGCCCTGCTTGACGCTGGGGCTGACGTGAACGGCTTTGGGCATGACGGATTTTCCGCCTTGCACGAAGCGAAAGACGTCCGTGTGATGGAGGTTCTGCTCGACGCCGGGGCAGACATTGAGCAAGGCATTTCTACGGACTACGACAGTCACGGGTGTGACGAAGCTACCCCGGTCGGCTGGCTGTGTCTGAAGACGCACCAGCGCTTCTCCCCTCTGCAGAGTGTGGGTTACGAATGCACGGCGGGGGCTGCCTTGTCGTCCGAGGACGAGATCGAGCGAGCGACGGCAATGGTTAAACTCCTGCTTCGTCGCGGAGCAAAGATCGACTCGAAAGCAGGATGCGTGGGGCACTGCCTGCGCACAGGAGCTCGCGGACCCCCGCTGTCAGCGGCAGTGTACAACGGTACCACGGCAATATGTGCAGCTCTCGTCGACAAGGGGGCCGACCTGGATGCAACAGACTGGGAGCTCCAAGACTTCGGGTCCGACCTCGATGTCAAAATTCGCCCGATCCATGACGCGGCCCGCTTCGGGGACGTGGACATCCTGCGTCTACTTCTTGTCGCCGGTGCGGGTGCGAATAGCTTGTCGAACGTCCATCGGGATGATGATCTCAAGCGGTGGGGTACACCGTTGCACGTAGCTNTCCTGCGTCTACTTCTTGTCGCCGGTGCGGGTGCGAATAGCTTGTCGAACTTCCGGCGTGGTGATGTTCTCCAGCGGTGGGGTACACCGTTGCACGTAGCGTGTCGCTACTCGCAGGTGGGGTGTGTTCGTGAGCTGCTTCGGTGGGGAGCGGACATGTGGGCGGAGGAGAAACAATCCGGCGGGGAGGAGGAGGAAGAAGAGAAAGAGGAAAAAGTACCCTGTGAATGCGAGTCATGTTTTTCGAACTCAGCTGGTTGCGGCAAGATTCCGGAAGAAGTGATCGCTCTGCGGGATGCGGTAACCAATGAGGAGATCAATGCCAGGCCATCGGACAGCAGTGAGTCAACTCCACGCTTTCAGTTGTATTGTGTGTATGCGCGAGAATCATTGCGCGTGCACTCGGTACGTACACACACCCCGCACGCTCGCTTCGCCGCTTCCCCGCCGTACCGTCCATACAACTGTCCAACCACATAGCTGTCCTACAATAGCAACACACGCCACAGACGGGTCAGTACGATCGTGCCGTGTCCGCTCGAAACTTCTTAGGTGTCTGTCGGAACATGTTCGCGTCTTGCGTTTGATTCTCTGTTTGCTTCGCATAACATATTGCCGCCCCGCCCCCCCGTTATCTGCACCCTCCCCATTTCCAGCAACCGTCGGAAACGGCGACGAAATTCGTCGCGAGCTGCTGTGGTGGCGGAGGTGCGCGGTAGTTCTGCTGGCAGCTCGCCTGGCCAAGCAGGTGTCTGCGGATGGCGGAGCGACCACGGCTGCGTCGTCCGCCAAAACTGTCAAGCGGTCACAGGTGCTTGCAGACGACGAGCTGCTAGCTATTGCCGGAAGGATGGCCAACCTGGGCGGTTCGCGCCAGGGGGCGTTTCGCCACATCGTCACGTTTTTGTAAACGGACGATCGATCGTCGGTGTATGGACGCATGATCTCTCTCAGACAGGCGGGTAGCCTCGGACCAATCGATGGCATTTCGACGTGTTTCGGGGCGCTGCACGTACATAAGTTGTTCTGCTCCGGAGGGAGCTTACGTGAATTGTTCTGTGTTGGAATATTTGGCACTATCATAGCTTGAGCATAAGGTAGTCAGTTGGACTAGTTCATATATTGTCAATGTAGCTATGTCATGTCGTAGGTAAAATTCCGTATGGTCTGTCATACTCGGAATATGGAGACATGGTTGATGTTCTGTGTTTCTTATCCAGAAATAATCTGCATAGACTAGCCCAGATTTCCGGAAATAATCAAGTGCAAGTAACTCAGACTTGCGTGCTTGAATGAATGAATATTCGTATGCGCTCAGCAGTCGAATTTGGATGTAGTTCAATTGTTGAAGCTATTTCTTCGTTTTGTCGTACGTGAGTGCATGTACTCACTTGTGCGTGCAGGTACAATACTTGATGTGCATACGTGGCACAAAGTTCGAGAGCATGGTGTTGAAGTCATCTTTCCAGAAACGTATCGTAGCTTACCAGTACCGTATTCTAAACACGTTTGATTGGTCGACGTTGTCGGATAGGTGAGATTCCATGATTTCGAGGATGAGCGCGTACTCGCCCCATCCTCTTGCTCTGCTTCTTTGGGGGTTCTACAACCCTGCTTGTTTGGGGGGTCTCCAACCCTGTGCTTCTCTGGAGAAATCCACCTCTGTGGCTTCTCCATGTTTCTCTACATTCTTTCTGGTCTGCACTGATGAAGTAGCTGCATATCCACCAACCCATCTTCTTCTCCTTCGGACTTCCTGCGTACTCAGAGCCTAGCCTCTCGTACCAAGAGTCCAGCGGCACAACAAGTGAGGTGGTACGCCGCGCTGCAGCCGTACAGGACACGTACAGGCTCACACGCAGCACTTGGGCTTTTCCTTTGACCTGTGACTATAAGATTGCACAATCGGGTGCTCTGCTTATGTACATCAGTGGTCATCGCTGCATAGGGTTTGTTCTGCTCGCGCGACACACTGCGGAGAGAGCACGCACCAACTCAAGAACAAATTAGTCTAGGACATACTTTTCGACGACAGTCTACAACACCTCTTCGAGAAACCGATACGGGACAATCGTCAACATCCACAAGCCTACATCCACAAGATTCTGAATGATCGTTTCATACGTGAGGCGAATTCGATGCGACGCGAACGATCAGTCCTGCTGGCTGTGCGGCGGGGGGAGGTTGTGGGCCCACGTTCTCTGGGGGACGGAGCAGAGTTGGGGGGATCTTCGTGTTGTGATATTTCCTTGGGGTTAAGTCAACCTCCATTTGCTCTCAGAGTTACTCTCCTATTTTTATCGCATTTCAATTTCATCAAGCTCATTCATTCGGAGTCAACGATGTTTCGGGGGGAAAAGCTTGTATCCAGTATTTACTCCCTGGGGACGCCTCGTAGAATAGGTAACGAACTGACTGCGAACGTGTTTGTGGCTGGCGCTCCGTGCACCTTTTGTTTCCTTGCCGTTGCAACCTACAAAATGTTGCACCTGGTTCACGGTCCATGCTTGTTCCGGGAATGGACAGGATGGGCATATTGTTGACGCCTCCTCATTCTTTCGAGCGGGGCTCCCACAGATTCGGAAGTTTTGGCCGGCGCCCCATGAGCGTCTCATGGGTGCTTTGCTCACGAAACCGCTGCACCACGGGCCGCTTTGTGTGCATCAGCAACTTGGATTACCTTGAGTCGCTTGCGGTAGTGATACCGTGGTTCGCGTGTGTTTTCCTACTGTTGAAGAGTGAACGTACACTACTCCGAGTAGGTATTCCTTTGTCAGGAGGGCAAATGATATCCCGAAGTAGAAGACGATGTACCAAAGTAGAAGACGATTCGTGAACGTACCAACGGCACAGTATGAATCAGGGCGTAACGAGCCTTCTAGCCCTGAGAAGTGGAAACAAGGGTGCGCAGGACGCAGTCACTTGACAATGGGACATGGGTACCTGGGCAACGTGATGGCACCGTCACATCAAACCGTAGAACAAGTTGGGATTCGCAACGAAAAATTCGTACTCAAATCCATGAACCACTGCTTACGAAGAGGTTCGTGCGGGAAGACGCACGGAAGCCTTATTCTTGACTTTGTCAATCCAGAATTCGAAACTTGAATCGAAGACTCGAAACTCCACAACGCAACCCACCTGCCAACACGTACCCTCTACAGCACATCATAATAGACAAAGATGCATTGTCGTAAATTACTGGCGGGACAGCACTATTTCAGGCAGACAGAAGGAAAAAAATTGAGACTGAAAGAATGAAAATATTGCCAAAACCTCAAATATGTGGAAGAGCAAAAGAGACGGACAAGGGCTGTCGGGCGCAGCTGCTGGCGTCACTAAGATGACACGTACATGCACACCGAGACAGCAGTGATCCCAAAACAGAGCGAACAAGCGAGAGCTCTCACGCCAGGAAACAAACAGGCTCCACAGAAATCTGATTCCTTCCAAGCCGGCACGCCAAAATGTTGCCAGAACAAGGAAGCGTTGTAATTAATCCCTGAGAACCGAGATTCACTTGATCATTCCTTTCGGTGAACAGCAGGTGTTGCGGTGCTCTCTTTTGGTGGATTAAAACAATAAATAAATGGAGGCTTGAACAACAGACGGGCGGCGGAGCCTTCAGTAGGGAACGGCCGTTTTATCCCATCCACCGACAAGCATGGTCCGGTGAGAACCCGGCTTGCTCCGTCCCGGCTTTGTAGGGATGCGAGGTCAATGGCCTAACGACTACGGCATGCACGACCATGAGTACACCCCCCTCCCGACAAGTTAATCCCAGAGAGATGAAGCTCACGCCATAACCCATCAATCTCTCCGAGGAACATCCGTTCATCCTTGAATATTCATACCCCATAAGAGTGATAGAGGGTTGGAAAGCTACCCTCGATATTACCATGCACCCACCGCTCTCGTTAGAAAGAATACGCCCATGAGCTAGCTCGACCATACGCTCAGAGGGGGCAAAACGAAATATGTTTTGAAATTTTAGGAGGCACGGGAAACCAACAACACGGATGTCACAAAACGCCTCCATCAAAATTCTCCCAGAACAAAACAAAGCAACAGGCTGTCTGCAGTGCAAACACATAATCCCGGCGGAATACATACAAATTCAGAAAAACAACTCCAGGTTTTCAGTTCACACCTTTTCACGCATGTGAGATGGGAAAACGCAGACGGACAGCAGGACACGGCCAGAAAACCAAAACCTTCACCGCGTGAAACATCCACGGAACAAAATTGTTAAAGCAGCAGCAAAGCCGCCTGCTGCCCTGTGTGCGATGCTGACCTCTCCAGGACTCCTGAGTTGAAAGTCAAATCAGCACCGATAGGTTAAAACAAACAAAGAGGATGTCCTCCGTCGTCCAAAAGTTTCGAACAAAAAAGGACATTCGTCGCCGTCTTCTTAGGCGGTCGGAAGCTTTGCCCTCGCCTCGGTAGGGGAGAGGGGCACCGGGAACCACAGCTCGTTAGTCCTCAGGAAGGGGAGCGTCCAGGGAGGGTCATACCTGACAGATCCGGCGGGGGGCGGAAGGAGCACGTGAACATAGAGACGAGACAATAGCTGCTCACGTTACTGTTTTGGGTGAGTTGTCATTGTTGTCTCCACAAAAATAAAATCGGTCCGGTCTCTCCACCCAGTACCTTCTTCTGTCCGTACTAATGTAACACTTGACGTCAATTCTCATGGTCACGAGCTAACTTACCCAAACAACGTAAGGAGCATAGAACCGAGAAAAAAAAGCTGCTCAGATAAAAATTTCGGGCGTGTGAAGAGAGCATGTAAACAGGGAAGGGACACTAGCTGCTCGTTTCTTTTCTCGCATGTAGGCTGTTCGCACCGGGGGGTGCTGTGCCTGTTGGGAACAGCACGCTGTCACGGAAACGAATGGCGGGGGGTGGCTGTAACAACCGCGACTCAGACAAAGATCGAACAACAAGCGGAATAAAGGATGTGCCTCCGAAACATCAAGACCACGCACACGCCGGTTATATTTTGTTTAAGACACCGATATGTACTATCCGCAAAAACATACGAATCATTTCCAGAGTGAGTCGCAACGGGTGTCACTGCAGTAGCTTGGCGGCGCCGCTGCGGCTGGAAGCGCTGCTGCCCACTTTCGTTCTACCACCGCTTTTTCTGGCAGGACAGTGTTGCAAAAAAAGCTGCATTTCTGCAACTTTTCTTGCAACTTTGCTAATGTACGCTCAGTATCGGAGCAAAAAGTTGCACGAATCGTTCTGCAACATTTTTCCGGAGCGAAAAGCTGCAATCTGGCCGAAAAGTTTTGCAGCTGTTCTCGAGTCGGGAAGGGGTGAGAAAAGCTGCACAGCGGAAACTACACCGATTCACGTCAAGTTGCTACCCCTATCGCACACGTAGACACTCATCAGCATCGATTGTGGGAAGGCTGTGACCACCTATACTAGGGTACCGAAGGCCAATCGCAAGCAAGAGTGGTTGAGGACGGTGAAAAGTGGATGAGAGGGAATACATCGTTGGGAAGCAACACGTCCCGTGCGCGAGAGAGAGATGGAAGGCGAGGCACGGCGTGATGCGTGATGCCCGCGTGAGCACATGTGAAGGTGATGAACGGCGAGGCCCAAAACTGGACTGCTCTCATGGAAATGCTAATGATTAACCATCCGCTGATCATGTGTTGTGTTTCGTCGATATCATTTTTTCAAGAGGCTGCAGGACCCGAAAATACACATGAAGAAGGAAACTAAACAACACCACGAAGAATGACTGAAATATCCACGCCGAACGGTGCCGAAAACCTGCCGGAAATGCTAGGAACCACGTGCCTGCCCGCTTTTTTGTTCCAAGATGCTCATGTCGGCACTCCATTAATGCAAAACAAAACTTTAAGAAGAATGAGATTACTCGAAGGAAACCTACGTCACAAGCAAGAAAGAAGAATTGAAACCCGAATTCCAACTCTGAACGAAAGGGGTGTAGATTAAAGATGGGAGTGGAAGGGTCCCATGGTGTATTCGGCAAAACTACTGATTGACGATGTGAAACGAACACAACACGAGCTCAACGGATGGAAGATATTGCACGTGCGATGTAGCTACTGGCGCCCACGGGTGCAACCAAAACGACAGGAAACGCGAGTCAATCACAAGGTGACATGAAAGCGGACGTCTTGACGTCTGCTTGCAAGAAAACGCTTTGGTCCCTCTTTTCAAGCAACACGCTGTAGGTTATGGAGGCAACAAAAGGCTTCTCCGCCCATTGAAGCCCGAATGACACAAGGTGAAAAGCACAAACCGCGACATTGATGATGCAAGGGAGGGCAAAGTTAACTGCATTCTATGTCGAAAGCGTGCATGATAAAATGTTCGTGACGGCAGGACCTCCCACACTGCGGCAACTGAAGGCGGCGCAATGTATGCGCCTCGGCGTTCCCACCACAACCCACAAATTGAAGCCCGAATGACACACAAGGTGAAAAGCACACAACGGCGACATTGATGATGCAGGGCAGGGAAAAGTTGGCTGTATTATATGTCTGTCCATGAGTGGGGCGAAAGCGTGCGTGATTAAGTGGTCGTGAAGGTGGGACCTCCCACACTGCGGCACCGAAAGGCGCAATGCATGCGCCTTCGCGTTCCCACAACATCCTTTATATTGTATCTTAGTGATATAACGAGGTCCTCAGACTTACTCACGTACCCGGGAGTTCCAGAATACAAATGGCCCCATGGAGTAAAGGGATCCAAAGCCAAATCGAAACAAGTACGGTCCAGCGCTTGTTTCCTTGGACAGATTGTACAACGGCGGTCGTACCGAACAAAGGCCTTTTCGGCAACCTGATGAGTGACGTTGAAAGTACCGGTGATACGCGGCAACCACAATGTGCAAATCTCTGACCGTCTCGAGTCTGAACTGAAGAATGTGTGGCTTGGCGCCGAGTACAGCATCTTCCCTACATCGGTCGTAAGGTGTAGACGACACGTTATTGCGGCTCCGTGTGAACAAAAATCTTGAAAAAATCTGCGCGGCTCCGCTGAGCAAGCGGCTTGCGCACAGCACACCCCGGCTGAGAGTAAAACGTGCGTCATTCTGGGTGTGGCGTGCATCGACGGAAATTGACGAATGAAATGCGAGGCACGACGTATTGCGTGATGACCGCAATTGGTGTCGTACTTACACTGCTGTTGACATGTAGCAGGGGAAGGCAAGTCTCTCTGCTACATACAGCTACAGCAGTGTTGCAGGCGATGTGTGTGCTTCTTCACGGCTTGACGGTCGTCCGTACGCGTTGAATGGCTGGCATATATATATCAGACATCCTGGAATCGCATGGTGACAACATGCAGAACCCGTACACACGTCCCGTGTGTACGGGTTTTGGCTGCTGTTTACATTGCGGAGACAACACAGCAGTTCTCTGTGCTGCCAACTCTGTGCTCCTGTGCTTCGGTGCTGGTGTGCACACGCGGCTGTCATGCAGGTCTCACAGATTGCCCAAGCGCCATATTCGTGAACTCGCCGACGCGCGACCTAACGTCCAAACCGTAACATATGCGAGACGTGCTTGAGCCAGGGCCCACACTGATGTGCCGCGTACCCATGCCACAAAAGAATGTGTGTGCTGTACAGTGGCTACAACTAACCGTGGGTTGCCGCTTTGTGTACGTAAATCGTCGCTGCTCAAGAGACCGCATGTTTGTCTATAATCCCTCGCCACACTCATCCGATCACGAGCAATGCTCAAGTGTGAGAGAACATATTCGGTTGGTCAAGCCATTTTGGAGGTTGGGGGCAGCCCAAAGACCGTCGCATTCAGTCTCACACAACAACAGAGGTGTGCGGCCGGCGCAAGAAAAAAAAAAGAAAAAAACTGCACCCACTCTATTTTCAAGTAGTGCGACGGAATGAATCCTTGGGAGTATAAAACTTAGGGTGATCTCGACGAATACATAACGAGCTGCCTCATTAATGGTAATCTGGAAGGAGGCGATGCCATGAGCTGTTGGGCAATGCAAATGGTTGGGGCCGTGAGGTGCTGAATGCGCCGGGAAAAAAAAATTGTGCTGGGCACAACCGTCAACGACCGCGAGCGGTTGGTTCAAGCTCGTTGACCGCCACGGGGGTGGTTATCCACCGATAACTTTCCGAAGTAGGAAGCAACAGCAACAGCAAGGCCGCTCGGTGTGAGGTAGCTCTCTGCTCCATCTTTCATGCCGAAGGTTTGGTGCCGTGGGGTATCGTGCGCATCGGGAGAAAGTTATGATCGACCCTACAGCAGTACCGACGTCAGAGAGCGGTTGGTAGTTCGCAGGGATTGTGTGCGCATGGATTGGTTTTCCAGCGATAACTTTTCAAAGGGGAAGGCAACAGCAACAGCAATGCCACCCCGAGGGAGCTATCGTGAGTGGGGAGAAAAAAGGTTGCAACTTCCCTCTCCCACACGCTCTGACCGGTTTTTTCGCGGTGCAACGTGAAAGGAGCGTGCCTTCTTTCTCGCCGTTATGAAAAAAAAAGAAAACGTCACGCCTCCGCATTCCGCCAGTCGCGTGCACAACGCTTTCTTCGTCCTATAAAAGAGCGTGCATCAGGAGTTCCGCTGACAAAAGTTTGGAAGAAAAGCTGCAGGAAAAGTTTGCAGCCGTTCTTCCAACATTGCCGAACAAGTTCATATCCAAGCTGATCCAAGTGCCAAGCCGCCCCGGTGTGGCCATTCTGATAACACCCACTGGCCAGCCGAAATGACTGGTCGACAGACACTGAGACAGTCAATGCAGGACCTGGCATCACACGCAAACCCCAGCGGTACAAGAAAACAGCAGGGTAGGGTACACAGCACACAGAGGCGCACCTAACCGACACGCGAAAACACACACACACACACACACACACACACACACACACACACACACTCACGCCCTCGGGGTCCCAGATAGTGGCCATTAGAAGCATTTTTTGTTTTCAATCGCACTGAGACTGACGTATTACAGAAAATCAACCGGTCCACATGAAAGTTGGAGCCGGCGGAAAAAATAGGTTGATACACCTTTCGTACAAAACGAACAGTGGAGTTTCAACCGCACTGAGACTGACTTCTCTTCATAGGTCAGCCGAATTGAGCGGTCGACACAAACAAAAAAAAGAAACACACATACGAGGAAACACCTGGCCGCCAAAAACTTGGGAGTCTTAGGTTGACGCACACAACGCCACAAAAGTCGCACCACCGGCACTCGCCAAGCAAAAAAACAAAAACACACCTGGCCACCAAAAACTTCGAGTCGGCGGAGACGTACTCGGAGAATGCGCCGCCCTCCGAGGCAACCTTCTCCACGGCGACCATCCGCTCCCGTTCGGCGATGGCGTCGTGGCCGTCCCCGCTGCCCATGCTTCCCGAGAACTGATGTACGAGGTACACGGTTTCCGGCACCTCCCGGAGGGAAACGCGGCCGTCTGTGGGTGTCGGCAGGTCGCTGCGGGGGGGAAGAGGGGGCGGGGGCGGGAAGGAGGTTTTGTATGCCGTAGCTGTTAGACCACCTGTCCTCGAGAAGACGGAGCATTGTTTCCTACAGGATTGATGGCCAATTGTTCCTTCCTACCTTGCCATAGGTGGGGGTGGCGTAGTTTAGTGTTGTGCCTTCGATTGAGCTACAAGTTGCCGCCTTTGTCTGCGTTCGGGTGGAGCGTACCTGATATCGAGCCTACACGCCTCTCGCTCTCTCTCGTGTCTTGCGAAAGACACATTGGCGAAGAATACGATGAGTTCATGGGGCGGCGACCGTGTAGTTTGAGAAAAGAAAAAAACACGGAGCATGCATGTCTGTGATGTATTCCGTTGGGCGGCAAGGTGGGAAGATGCACCAAAACGTTGACCAGGAGCCGCAAAAGCTGTGGAGAAGTCGAGCGCAAAACTTCATGCCTCTGGTCGCGCAGCACTCAACCACGTACGCCACTACGTGCGCCGTCGCGGCCAACGAGCGGGGACTACTACTTGCGACAAGTCCTCGTTGGTCGGGCTCAAACCTGATTCTCTTGAACTGCTTGGGCATGATGAACTGCATCGTGCTTGTGCCAGCCCCGGGCCCCACGACGACCGGCGCGGTCATACTAATCTTCTTGCCTTGAAAGAAGGTGCGAGAATGGGTGGG